TGTCATACATACACCATTTCATGAGATCAGTCTGATGGAGGACACCAGGTTTATGCCTATTTTTGGGGAAAATCTTATTAAGCCAAAATTATATTTAGTGTCCCATTTGTTGACAACCATTTAAACATGCACCATGTTATCTAGATATTAGTTTGCTAACAATTCTGAAATGTCAGTCTTTTTTTCACTGTGTACACACTTCAACTGGTTATTCAAAATGTAATATGTACTACTTTAATGACAAGACATGTCGATGTTTGCAGTTTGTGTCTCGCTCAACTAGAGATCTTGGGTATCAAAACTATTCCCGAACGCACAGTGGTAAATACAACTAGGAAACTCATATTTATGATCACTCCTGACAGATGAAGGCAGCAAACGTTAACCTGTCTCCTATTTAGATAGTGTATTATATACTCCCTGTTCTGTTCAGTCATTTAATGATTATCAGTGTATTCTCCAAATGTTTATTTGTATTTCACTTCATGCATATCCTTGACACCGACACGTGACAAATGTCACATGATCCTTCAGAAATATATGCTTCATTCTAATATGCTGATTTGCTGCTCAATAAACATTTATTAATATTATCAATGTTGAAAACGTTAGTGCTGCTTCAGATTTCTGTGAAAACAGTGATTCATTTTTTCAGGATTCTATGATGAATTCAACACTCTAAAAATGCTGGTTTGTTTCAACCCAATTTTGAATCAAATATGGACGAATTCAAACATTGGGTTAAAAATGTGCTTTAAAAATGTAATCCAATTGCTGGGTTTGTCCATATTTGACCCAAAATTGGGTTAAAGGAGTCGTTCACTTTTAAAAAAAAACTTGCTGATAATTTACTCGCCCCCATGTCATCCAAGATGTCCATGTCTTTCTTTCTTCAGTCGAAAAGAAATGAAGGTTTTTGATGAAAACATTCCAGGATTTTCTCCATATAATGGACTTCAATGGGAACCAAACGGTTCAAGGTCCAAATGAGAGTTTCAGTGCAAACTGTTCAAAGGGCTTTAAACGATTCCAGACGATGAATAAGGGTCTTATCAAGCGAAACGATCGCTCATTTAATAAATAAATAACAAAGTTTAAGTTTTATAAGCTCAAATGCTCGCCCTGCTCTGTTCTGTGATGCGCGTTCGTGACTCTCCTATTCGAACTCGTTCATCAAAATGAACAGATCTTTTTTCGAGTCATGACTCGAAGGGTCCTTGATAAGACCCTTATTCATCGTCTGGTGTCGTTTAAAGCCCTTTGAACAGTTTGAACCAGACCTTGAACCATTTGGACCCCATTGAAGTCCATTATATAGAGAAAATTATCCCGCGCTCGTGCCCGCGTCTTATGCGCGTTCCAAACATGAAGCGGCCGGATCCGGGAACAGTGAATGGGTGAATGGATGAAAGGACGGTGTGACTCGAGTCCTTGTAATTATGTTGCTGGTGGCACATAAATAAATAAATCGATAAATAGATAAATATGGTGGTGCTGTGTGGCCTCGTGAGGCAGCGTGTGGTTATTAAAACAGCTCTCTGGCACTCCAGAGCTTCAGTAATCTACATGCAGAGAACAGGCCAACAAATAAACCAAGCAGGATTCTCCATTTCAAGTTAAAGACCCGCGCTCGGAGAAGCTCGCTTTTATTGAAGTCGCTTCATTGTTCTGTGACGTGAGAGGAATAAGCACTTTGCTCGTGTTCCGCTTCACACACACACACACACACACCAGGGACGACACACAGTGATGATGTGATATTTAAACCACGCGCTTGATGACGTCACACTCTGACCCCCCCCAGGTGCAGGTGTGTGTGGGATTCGGTAACGACGTCGAGACAGGAGCAGAACAGGGTTTGTTCTGGTCCGTGGCACTTGTGGAAAACACAACATTACTAACGAGTCTGATGAGGAGATGGAGATGATGATGTACTACGGAGGGAGAAAACACTGGGAGAGTCGTGAATAACCAGACTGCTCCCTAGCGGACTCTGGAAGATCTGGCGTGGCTCGTGAGGACACGGTATAATGCATTTGACTGCAGGGAGTGAACACACACACACACACACACACACAGCCGCAGTTCTGCTCACTCTCGCTGTCACTGTTGCTCATGCACCTTTAGTCATGCTGTTGACTGCATGCTTTTCAGACTATATGAACCTTATTGTGACATTCAAACTAATAATACAGTAAATCATTTTTCTGGTTTTGGTTCACCCCTCAGACACTAAAGACCCGTTCACAGCAATAAGGATCTATATAAACATCCACAACAACGCATGATAACGTTCAGTTTATTATAAGCACATGTTGCAGTTCTCTTTAAAGTCTTCAGTTGTGCTCGTCTTGAGTGAATCGCTTCTGGAACGAGAACAAATGTGGGCGGGGCTTGATTGTGTCTGTGTGGAACTGTTTGGATGGTTGTGGTTTGCTATTGGCTGATCTCCTGTGAGTGAACTAATTCTCATTCAACATTACCAGGAACATGAAGTTAACACAATAATGATGATGTTCACCGATTACAAATTTAGGTTTTCACAGACAGGTCTTAAATAAAGTCAGGATTAGACCTTAAATCAATTAGGACAAAGCTTTCATGGTTTATTTAATAAAACGAAACTGCGCCAACTAGTGGCTGAGGCAGGTTTTACAACAAGACAATTAAACTCATATAAATACCTTCTTATAATTATACCAGCTAGAATGTTGTCTATAAAGGTTGTCTTTCATATTAGTTGGAGTGTAGGTAAAGTGGGCCACTTTTAGATTAATATAATTTAGTTATAAGTGTAAACCCATTGAGCACAGTTTAATCAAGTTTAAATGGCCAACTGTACCTGTATTCACCCTATATAATTACAGACAGAACACTAATTACTGACTCAGACTGACTAATTACAGAATTCAGCTGTAACCTTTCTGGTGTCTGTTTATGTATTTATTAAAGTGTTTCTATGGCGGAAATAAAAGCAAGAATACAGATTTGACAAATGTGTATTTTTTATGTGAAGCTGTAATAGTCATATGGCCGCTAGAGGTCAATGCTGCTCTTTTTAATAAAACGCCAACTCTTAATTTCTTCTTCACAGGTTAGATCTTCATCTGTCCAAATACAGAAATGCGCAAAATCACTGCAGCTCGAAATATTTAATGAAGCTGATTAAAATAACGTCCAAAAATGAATGAATAAATCGTTTTAATCGTTTAAGAATCCCATGGGAGAGTTTTCAGCATTCATTTTCTAAAGACATAAACAAAACAGCCATTAATGTCTAAGTGATTGATACATGAAATATTAATAATATGTAGTATACGTAAATGTTAATGGATTTTGTGTCTAACAAACTGTGGCCAATATAATTTGGCATGCTGTTGGGAAATGTCCTCATTCCTCATATATCCCACTGAATGAAATAATACTCTGCATCTGACTGGTCATTGGGCAGTTGAGTCAAAATTATAGATTGAGATTTATGAGATTTATGCTCTCCTCAAGGTTTAATATTTCAAACTTGCAGTCCTATTCTAGCCTATATAGCCTTATCAACATTAACTGAGCTAATTTGCCTGTCAGTAAATGCCATTAAAGTCTGTTGTATAATAGCATAACATACACTGAGCTGTTCCGGCACTTGTTTACACAAGTAACATAGCTTTTAAACACATTAGCCGATGTGAAGTGTGCTAAAGCCCTAAAACGGTTGAAAATGGCCTTCGTTTGCGTACGTAAGCTTTAAAAACACTGATGTGAAGTTTGAAAAATAATAAAGTTTTTAGGTAGATTAAAAAAATCATCGAGCAGTCGGGTCGATTTTCGCGGGAAATATGAAGCTTATAGTATGTCATGTCCGTAATTACACAAAAGAACGGATATGCAATAATGTTTGATCTAGGCCTATATAATGAGATAATGATAATGTCATTCAGGTTACAGACGTGTGTGATTGTCGATGAGCGGATGAGGCGTTTGCTACAATAGTAGGCTAAGTGTTGCATAATTCGAACTAGTAGGCAGGATAGCATTAGCATTGTGAGAGCAAATGAGACATTGAACTGCAAATGCGACAGACAGAAAGAGCCCGTGTCAATATAAGCTTGGTGGGAAATTCATATACTGCAGCATGACAGATGATACACGGTAACCATGGTAACCACTTCTCAAGCCGCCAAGCACTGATGTAGAAGAACTAGTGACATGCGCTATTATGTTTCAACCACAGGTGGCGATAGAGAGGTTCAAGTTCCATAGACAGTTCACCTTTGAACAAACTCACGCTTAAATAGACACATTTTATTAAATGAAAACATAAACGGTTGCAATTTAGTGTAAACTGAGTATAGTTTGGGACCAAATGGTGCTTTGTAAAGTATATTTTCCATAAATGTTCCTTAAAAATAAAAAAATATATATGTTTTTCCATACAATAATAGCAGCTTAATGAAAACTGTCAAAATTGAGTGATATTATTATTTATTTGTCTCCCTGTTATGATGCATAAAAAGTCAAAATTATATAATTTCTTGGGTGTAACAAATTTCAGCAATGTTCAGCAGTATAAGTTTTAGAAAATACCAAATAAAAACATGTTGTAAATACAAGTTAGTTTCACTAAAAAGAATCATTGGATAATATGAAATATTGTCATATGTTAGGCTAAGTCATATGTTTACCACAGATGGGTCTAAATAAATCTGACTTCTTCCCACTCCGTTTCGAGCAATTGATTGATTTATGTCACTTTTTTGCTCAAAATAAATATTAAAATTCATTTCAAATTCAGATTATTAGTGCATGTATCATCTTATTATTATTATTGCCGCTGTTGCTGTTGCTGTTATCTGAAGTTATAGCACATTGTTTGAAAAACAAAACATTATTTTTCAGAAATTGAAGGCTCATCATGGCAGTGAGATGATGATGATAATGTTTGTGGGCGGAGTCCGGCAAGAGGCGGAGTCACAGCAGCGCGAGGAGGAAACGACGGCCGCTGATTGGTCGCTGCGCGCGGTGCTGATGCGGGAGAGTGACGCTGCCCGCGCGCTCTGTGTCGCTGGGTTTCCTCGAGATGTTTCTGTTTCTGCTCGGGATTATCGCGTTTGGGATGTAGGATCAGCTTTAGTTGGAGGATGATTCACAGCCAGCTCGCACTGTCACCGGTAGGTGTGTTTCAGCTCGCTCTTTATCGTGTGTGTGTGTCATATCTGTGCATTACGAACCAGTCGCTGCTCTGCAGACCCTCGTCAGTCGCTTAATGTGTGTGATCAATCTCTCTCTCGTGTGTGTGTGTGTGTGTGTGTGTTGGTGCTGTGGGGTTTCTCTCCTCTGGTGTCATTGAGCTTCCCTCTGTTTCCTCAGTCATTAAAGCATGGAGATGTTCCCAGTCTTCCCCTAGCCAGCAGATACACCAGCTCATCCAAGCTAGTCAAATATAACAAAATTGTGTTATTTTTACTAATTCTATTGGATATGACGAAGCTTATTAGATCTGAGTGACTTGTTTAATGCTGTTGCACAAATTAATGTTGATTTACCCTACTTTAAAAAACAAAAACATTACATAGGCCTACTATTTGTGCAATTTTGATCAAAATACAGCTTTTAAGAATCCAGTGCAAATTACTTGTATGTTTCCAGTGTAATGTGTGGGCCTGATACATAATTATGACCCAATCATGAATCATATGCGTTTGTCATAATTCATGCATTACTACTTCTAAAGTGCTGGAATGTGAAACTAATACCTAATTACGTCAATAACGAAGGCTATAATGTTTTTAAAGAGGGTTTGAGTGGGTATATAGAGTTGATAGTATCAGGACTGCATTACCATGATCTGATCCACATCCAGAGCTCATGATTCAGAGAAACGCTTCTCTGCCAGTGTTATGGATCTGATGGTGTTTATTTTATTTATATAGCACACATAATAGACCAAGGTGCTTCACAAATAGTGGAATAAAACAATGTAAAACATTACATTCGATTACATCCAAACAAACAAAACAGCACAAGACGAGAAAACAACAACATACTGTATGACTTTCACACACCAGGGCCAACGGGCCCACGCTACGGGACGGCTAGTCCATCGGCCCGACTCTAGAGAGCGCTGGGTCACCTTTACGCTTCAGATTGGTTCTTACAGTCACAATGAGGTTTAATTTTCCGATCTCAGTGACGAACAACAGCTCCGAAAGGTATGGTAGTGCAGTGATCTTGTAATGCACTGGATACTCGACTGGTGTTTATCATGATCCGCTCTTGACTTCCTCAATCTGGCTGCAGTATGTCGTGTGTTTTGCAAGCGTGCCAGAGCTCTCTTCTGTTGATGTTGATTATGCGAGGGATTTATGAGATGATGATGCAGTGGGTTTGGCCTTTATTGGATGTGAGGTCAGGCTGGTGTTTACTCTGGCACTCCGGGACACATGCGGTGAATGTGCTTATGTTTACACACACTCTCCAATATCTGCACGCACACACACCAAACGACTCGTTTTTACATTAAGACAATTAGGCCTGCATTTAATAATTACTAAGCCACAGTCTACAAGAAACTAGTATTATTATTCTTTCATTCTCGTAGTACAGCACACAAACACCACCAGGATATACAGTTTATATATCCCACATGTACAAACACAAATAAATAATCTAACCTACTGCCTAAAAGTAAACTGCAATGGGAAATATATATATATATATATATATATATATATATATATATATATATATATATATATGTGAAGAGTTCAGATGCAAAAGCCTCTAAGTGCCATTTGAAATTTTCTTCTAGAATGATAATTTTTATCAAGCTTGTATATTTAAGTTCAGTAATTTCACTTAAATGGCAATTCATAGGTAATCTTCATCCCCATTTAAGTGAAATTAATGAACTTAAATACATAACATTTGTAACATAATAATAATGTTAATAATTTATTATAATGATAATATTAGTAACAACAATAACAATTATATATATCATTTTAATATTTACTATATTATTATGTACAGTATTAATGTTTTTCATCCTCAAAGAATGGCACACAAACATGTACAGAAATGTGGATATTGTGGATATTGACTTCTTGATTTTATATAAAGCTGCAAACTTAAAAGAAAACTGCAGTGGAATGATATATTATATAACATTTTTAATAATAATACTAATAATAATCAGATTTCTTTATTATTTATAATGTATATACATTTTATTTTTTAATATATATATATATATTTGTATTTATTATATATAATTATATTAAAATTACATTACATTTGCAACAATAATAAAAATAACAATTTTGTCTATATAAATATATACACTGTATATGTAGATGAAAATTGCAGATATTATAATTACAGTAACTGCATGACGCTACATAATGTTTTGTGTTAGTTTGTTTTCTCGAGAGCAAATCGAGTCGATGTGAAGCGCGAGAGCACAGTGTGTCCTGAACTAATGAAAATGCTTTGTCTTTTTGAAAGCTCATGATGTCTGCTAATGGGAAAGACACTCCGCGTGCCAGAGGGAGCGTATCATAACTTCATAAGCTCTCCGTATGGATTTGTGCAGTTGACCTATATATGCTGTCATGCTTCACTGGGTTCGTCGAACACACACACTACCGTTAAACACACACACACACACACTACTCTCACGTGACGTCATGACCCGGTTTAATATCACAGTGCTCTTTAATTGTTCTGTGGCAGTCCAATAATAACACACACACACACTGGTTTAGACAGAGAGGAATATTATGGTCAGATTTCATTATTATAATGAGGAGTGTTTTGATCTTTGACGAATTCTGTGCGTTTCTCATAGAACTGTAGTTTTACAGATGGCTGAAAAAATACATTAAAACACGTTTTATAATGCATTTTGTATTATTAATACACTAATGCATGTAGCTTCTTAATCAAAATAAAAAAGATACTTTTATGCTGATATTGTTTATTTATTGTTGCTCTGTTTCTTTTAAACCTTTCTCAACCCCAAAATAATAATAACAATATATTAAATGTGCATATATATATTACATAAAGTTAGTCAAGTATATTTTAATTTCTGAGATTATTCTCATGACATTTGGGCAGATTTATTCCCCAATAAACATATTGTTGATTATGTATTAAGCAGTATTTCTTTCCTTGTATATATACAGCACACATAACTATTTTTATGTTTTTTAAAAGAAGTATCTCATCAAGCCTGCATTCATTTGATCAAAAATATAGAAAACCATTCTAATATGCTGATTTGATGCTCAATTATTTATTAGTAACAATTAAACAGTTGTGCTGATTAATATTTTTTTGGAATCAAGTGATACTTTCTTTCAGGATTCAATGCTGAATAAAAAGTAAAAAAGTATTTATTACTTTTCTACCTTGTGCTGCTACCTGGACGCCCAGGTAGATCTGTTTGCCTCCCATAAGTCGACCCATTGCGCTAGGGCTGGGTAAAAATATCGATTCATCAATGCATTGCAATTTTTTGCTTCTCAATTCAGTATCGATTCACCAAATCCTATGAATCGATTCAGCCATCCAGGCCAGTGGCGGCGCTGTGGGCTACACTCTAGTGAGAGCGTTCAGCGTTGTACAAGTCGCGCTTTAGCAAAACCTAGAGATTGGCATGGTTTTACTTCGGTTAGCCTAATAGCTGGTTTGATTTGCATTGAAAGATGATCTTATGGAAAGTACCCCATGCCAATCTCTAGGTGTGGTGGAAGGTGTGTGATGATGTGGGGATATTTTAATCCCAAAGGCCAAGGGAACTTTATCAGGATGCATATTATCCTGGATCCATGACATAACTGGCTTTTAAAAATAAAATGGGAATTTAACATAGGGGTGTCCTGACTTATGCACCCTGTATTTTAAGGAAAAACATTTATTTATTTATGATACATTATTCATTCACAAAGAAAATTGGTGTCCTTAAAGGTTGGAGTTTTCCTAATTTTTCTAATTAAGGCATTAAGATCAATATCCAAAAGATGATTTTTTATTCCTCTTTTTAGGCAACTTTAGCATGGGGGCAAACACTTATTCACACCACTGTATGACTGAATGATATAGAGAGGAAATGTTACTGGAACAAGTAAGAGAGTTACAACCTGTCTGTTTAAAATACTATTTCAGATTTTCTATTTCAATTTTTGAGACGAGGTATTTATCTACACACTCCCCCATCCTCACACACTCTTCCTCTCGCAGGACCTGCGCTGGTGTGTGTTTCAGCAGAGCATTAGTGAAGTATAGTTTCATTCCTCCTCCATACAGTGAGTGTGTTCTCAGAAAGATCAATGCTGATGAAAGTCCACATCATTACAGCCCTGAGGAACATCAGACGAGGCGTAATGCACTTAAGGCGTGTAGAAAACACTCGTGTTAGCTGTAGCTTACGTAACGGGAACATTGAGAGCATTTGCTCGGACTCACATCATATCAAAATCGAATTCATGGCGTTTGGCGATCGATGATTTCTGATTTGTTCCTCAGTAAGTTTGTTATCATGCATCGCATGCGCAGACGCTGTAGTTCTGTGATCTTTCAGTCATGTATGTATTAGAAATACTGGAATTATTGATTTTATTTTTATTAGGACCTGCACAGAAAGAGCAATGCCAGATTCCTCTTAAACGCTCCTGTAATGTGTGTATTCATGAATAATGCTGTTGTTGTTTAACTTGATTAACTTACATGTGATTAGAATAAAGTATATTCTAGAATTAAATACAAATTAAGAAATACATGTTCAAAGCGCATCGCAAATAATCATAAAAACTAAACTGATCGTAAAGCATTTTGTTCTTTAACGTTTTGCTTGTTTTTCATGAAAATATGTGGAAATTAATATTAAATTGAATATTAAGTGACAGTTTCCTCAAAAATATGAACTGTTTCAAATATTGCTGATAATCATAATAATGTTTGTTGATCATCAGATCCTCATATTAGAGTGATTTGTGAAGGATCA